CTTCAAATTTTACTGTTGATACATTTTTAAGGCAGCAAATAGAATATAAGCATATTTTATGTTATTATGCTAGTAAAATTATATTGAAGCCCAAATCAATTGTACAACAATTGAAAAGAATTATTACTTGTAATTTTTGTCATAGAAAAATTCAAAGCATACATTTTAGAATCTGAAGTTACAATTTATTCTAATCACTCGGTGTTAAAGTATTTGTTCACTTTAAAGAATCATAATCGAGGTTGATGAGATGAATTTTATTATTGTAGGAATTTGATCTAGAAATGAAATACAAAAAAATATTAAAAAAGATTACAACAGATTATCTTTTTAGGCTCAATCCTAATGAAAGTTCAAAAATTAAATTATTTATTTCTAGATGAAAAACTACTAGCCATTAATCATTCAAAAATACCATGGTATGCAGATATAGTAAATTATTTAGTCACAATAAAAATACCAATATGATGGTTAAAGAATTAGAAGAATTCATTCTTCTCTAAATTAAAATTTTATTTTTGGAATTACTGAGTTATTTTATTTAGGATGATATCAAATCCTTAGGAGGTGTGTCCCTAGATAATTGATTTTATCAGTCCTTTTCCTCCATCATATAGTTATGAATATATCTTAGTAATTGTAGATTATGTTTTCAAATGAATTGAGGTAGTTAGAACTATAACTAATGAAAGCAAAGTGGTTATAACATTTATTCAAAAAAATATATTTTCTAAGTTTTCATGTCCAAAAGCTATCATTAGTGATGTTGGACCACATTTTATAAATAATTAATTTTATGTTTTACTTAAAAAGTATAGAGTCATTCATAAAATTACTACATATCACTCATAATCAATGAACAAGTAGAAGTATCTAATAAGAAGATTAAAAAAATTTAGTTGAAAATGATTATATATGATAGAAATGATTGGTTATTGAAATTAGATGATGCACTATGGGTACATAGAACAACATTTAAAACACATATAGGAGCCTCACCATACAAATTAATTTTTTGGAAAAATTTGTCACCTTTTAGGAAAAATAATACATAGAGAAAATATGGACATGAACAAAGCTGGAAAATAAAAATCATTACAGATCATCAAGTTAGATAAAATTAAAAATCAATCATATGAACATTCATAGATATACAAGGATAAAATTAAGATGTTGCATGATAAGTATATTTGTAAGAAAATAATTTTTGAAGGACAAAAAGTACGTATTTAACTCAAGACTCAAACTTTTTTTAGAAAAATTGAAATCAAGATGGTATGAACCTTAGAATGTTTTAAGTGTATATGATAATGGAGCAATGGATCCTTGAGCTCAAAAGTGAGGAGATTTCAATAGTTAATGAACAAGACATAGAAACATATATAGGAATAAGAAAATAGATTTAAAGATAGTCAAACTTTGACATACCCATACTTAGAAATAAGGAATGTTTGGCTGAAGACATTAAAATTAACATTGAGTGGGAGGTAACCCACTAAAAATTCTGTTAGCCTTTTATTTTTCTATTATTGTGGTTTTCATTCTATATAGTCACATGAGACAAAGAACACCAATGCAAGTAACATCTCAACAAAAGAGTTCATAGAGTAATAATGATTGGCTACACAAAAAATCAAGTTTTATCTACCCAACCTCCTCTTTTATAATTGTTTGAATTTTACACCATTGAAGATAATTTTAAGTAAGTTGGGGGGGTGAGGCATGAGTGAGCGAAATGTTAAATTGAAACAATTGAAAAAAAATATTTTAAATTATGTAATACATGAAAATAATTACAATTATCTAATTTTTCTGAAGAATTGATGGAAACCGATGGAAAAAAATTATTTAATTACAAGAACACTCCCTTGATGACAAGATAATTATTCAATTTATACATTTAGTTGATCTGCACCATAAAATTTGGTATATGTGACGTAGTAGAACTTGAGGATAGCATGCAATACCTAAGGTTTGATTACAATATTGTAACTATGTGGCAACAACAACATGGTGATGATGACAGCGACAACAGTGTGGTGACCATGGTCTGCGACTATGAGCCAAAGTCTCATTGTTGGGTGACACAATAGAGAGTTGAAAGCAAGCAATATGATGATAACACCAATTGACAACGTGATGGTGGTGCAATGGCAACAACAATGTGATGATGGTGGCAGTGTGATGGCAAGCAAGTGTCTATCTGTTGGGTGACATAATAGTTGAATAAAACCACCCCCATTCTATCAACAATTTTATTTATTTGACATTTCATTGTCATCTACAAATTAGATCTCAACTTACATTCGTCTCATTTGATCCTTCTAGAACACAAGGATTATAGGAGGATTCGTTACCTTATTTGCATACTCTACTTGGTGACACAATAAAGAAACAAAATTTTCCTTACATTTTATTTAGTATTTTCTTAAAAACACTTAGTTAGATTAGGTTTTTCTTCTAATGATCTTTGAGTGGCACAAACATCAAAGGAAGGGAAATTACTTTCAATAAAATAGGGACTCATTTTAATTACATAACAATTATCTTTGGAAAAAATTCTTTTGTTCTACTACATATTTTTAGAATCAATGAACAACACATAATAATTAAATATCATTATTGTTTGACCATCCCCATGGAAATGACCTAATTTCATTATCATCTTCTTAGTAGTTTAGTATTATTATTTTAATTTATTTTTTTAAAAAATAAATTTAATAGATAATGATTTAGGTGTAACAAAAAATAACACACTTTATTGTCTTGGACAATTAATAATGAAACAAACATAAGTACTCTTTGAGTGTACAATTTATTACTTTTGTTTGCCCATCAACTTAGGGTGATAAATACTACTACATTGTAAGAGTGCCTCTTAGATCTTGAATAACTCCTTCCAAAAGATGTTTATAAAGATCCAATTGTGGTATGTAAGAATATATGTTTTGAATCTATAAAGATGAGTGACATCATAAAGTAAAACCTTCATAATGTCTAACATTATAAACATATGCTTTAGAGGAGAGAAATTACACGCTCAACCTATTGACAATTTACATACCTACTCAATCTATGATGTAATTTCATCATGTTTGAATAATTTCTTGATTAACTTCATTATGATGTGGTCTCTTTTTTTTTTTTGAAATAGATATTTGTTAGAGTTTTTTTGGAGATATTATTGAAATTTTATTTTTTTGACAAATTAAATACGTTTGAAAGTATTAATAAATCATCTCCTTTAATTTAACTTAATATACATTTTGTCTAATTTTATAGTTTTGAATAAAGCCAAATTATGTCAATTGTTGAGTTAAACTCATGTAGGATTAGTTGTATAATTATAAATAATTCCAAACCACTAGATGTCTATGTTTGAAGAAATATTCTTATTGCAGTGAAATATTCTTATTGTCGATGATCGTCTCCAATAGTAATTTATTTTAATTTTTTCATGAAATCATTCAAGTATAATAGTTTCAATGAGCCTACTTATGTTGAGTGGTGCTCTAAACATCTAGGTCTTTTATAAAATCATTGGCAACTTGATTTTTATCCCTAGCCTTATACCTAATGTTGAAGTCAAACCTTAAAACTTTAAATAATTACATCTAACATTTAGTCATACTACTTGTTTTTGTTCAAGCTTCGTTGATTTATATAGATTATAAACCTTCTTCTCAATACATAATATTTCTATTTTTAATATGATCACACTATTAATTCTCTCTCACATACTATTTTTGTCCTACTTAATGATAATGATATTTGACTAAAATATGCAATACATCACTAGTTTTACACAAGCATTGCTCTGACTTTAAAATGTGAAGTGTCACTTTCTAACTCAAAATTTCACAAGAAATCTAGTAGAACTAATACAAGAGCTACTGTTAATAATGTCTTTAGACATTAGAAGGCCTATGTGCTTGGACCTCACAAGAGATGATTTTTTTTTATTTTTTGGGTAAAATCATGTGTGGTCGATCATTCCTATCAATAAACTGATGATATTAATTTAGTTAATATGAAGAAGCTTTGTAATTATCTTAGACAAATAAGAGCAGGTCAATTAATTACTACATTTATCTTTTGTGAACCCTTTGGCACACCTTCTGCTAAGATCCAATGTCCCAAATATTTAATTTTGTCTTGAATTGAGTACATATTTTATCACGTTAATGTGTAAATAAAGATTTTGGAGTATGGAGAAAAATTGCTATAAATGTTATGTTTAGTCATTAATGTCAAAGGCTAAAAATTAGGATATCATCAAATAAAATTGATACAATTTTTCAAAGAAGTTTTACAAGATACAATTCATGAAAACTTTAAATATTGTCAAAGTATGTGAAATTCTAAAAGACAAGAAATTCATAATATATCATGTAACAGTATGTTCTGACTAAAAACATAAAATAATGTCAATTAAATAGGCTACTACCATGACCGGGTTGATAGGCCCAGTGGTTTTGGCCTATTAAGATATATAACATTTGAATCTCGGTATAGTAACCAAATGTCAGAAGACCCGGTAGAGGGTGTTTGAGGACCATCACAACAGACCCAGGGCTTGCGCAGACTGGTCCCACATTCGGTCATCAGATGCGATTCCTGGTTAGGACCAGCACGGACTGGCCCTGTCCTTCCGTATCCTTCTTAGCCGTAGAGAGATGCGAGAGAGAGAGAGAGAGAGAGAGAGAGAGAGAGAGAGAGAGAGAGGGGTTTCACTTGCTTTGCTGACGCGACGTGGACTGATGCCATCTTGCCACATGGTGGCGCCTGCTGGCGGATTCGCCATCTGGTTCCCGGCATGGCGGCCAGCCACGCTGTTTGGAAACCCGTCGCTCGCGCACGTGGAACAGCCCCCCCGGCCCCCCCGATTTCTCTCACTCGCCACCAACAGATGACGCGCACAAAAGCAGTACTCTACGGGCCCAGTGAAAGTGATGGCCACGGCCCAATCGTTGTCTTACAAAGCCCACAACTCTCTCTCTCTAGACGTCTTGGTTGAAACACCGGGGGCGCCATGGTGGCGTGGGCCTGGTTCGAAGCAGGCTTCTTCCCGAGGGAGGAGAGAGAGAGGGGGGGCCTCCCTCAGGGGATGGGAAGAGAGAGAATGCGCAGGCTACCGACATCACGTGCGCTCTGCAGCTCGCCTCCCCGGCCAGGCTATGTCTGATACGACGACGCACAGAGGAGATAGATAGAGAGAGGAGAGAGAGAGGGGGGGAAAGGGGGGGGGTTCAGTGTCAGAGTACGTCACTCTATACATCCATGTGAGCACAGCGGGAGCTGTTCATCCTAACGAACACAGCAGAGGCGGATACACGCAGAGGGGATGAGATCAGGCTCGGAAGGGTCGGCAAAAAGGAGCCTTTCCCCTCCTCCCCACCTTCCTTTTTCGAGCAGGTCGTCGTCGTACGGCCCTCTCGCTCTAACTGAAATCCCAGCCTGCAGAGGCCGCCGCTCCACAGGGACCGCCACCTACCCCAGCGCCATTAATGGCGACAGCGAGAGGATAGCCGAGGAGAGACCGTTCTGTCTGTCCCTCCCTCTTCAGAGGGGCATATCTGAGGAGCTAAGGCGGCAGCGGTAGCTGAGAGCGTCGCCGGCGGCGGTGGCCGGTGGTGCGGAGATGAGGGCTTCTGAGACCAGCCACAGCCGCGCCGCCTCCCGGGCATCGGTCGCCAGCTTCTCCAGCGTCGCCTCGTTGCAGTCGACGTAGTACTTTCCCGACGCCCTCGCCACCCGAGGGTGCACCGCCACGTAACACGTCGTCGCCGCCGCCTGCACCGCCGCAACCTCCGCCGTCACTCAGTACCCAGCGAAGAGAGAGAGATAGAGAGAGAGAGAGAAGCAGACCTGAGGGATCGTCTTCAGAAGCTTCGACGCCAGGAAGAAGGCCAGATCTGACACCGCAGAAGAAGGGATGGGAATCAAGCAGCTGGAGATCATATTTTGATTTTCGATTAATGCGCAGAAGTCACCTGTAGAGAAGCCCTCGCGGTCTCTGGTAAGCCTCGTCCTGACGACCCCGGGGTGGACGCAGTTCGCCGTCACGTTGGCGCCCATCTTCTGCACATACAGATAGATCGATAGATAGATGGATCATTCCACCACTAGATCGATAGATAGATGGATCATTCCACCACCATGAGACCAGCTTTCTTTCCACTGGAAAGCAATGGATGGGACAGAGGGAAAGCAATGGTGACAGCACCTTAAGCCTCTCGGCCAATTCCCGTGTATGGAGCACATTAGCGAGCTTCGACAGCGTGTACGCCCGCGTCGGGTCGTATGGGCTGGTCTTCTCCGGCGGCGGCAACCGGCGGAGGAGTTGTGAGTTTCGGTGTGAGATTCTTGTTTGATCGGATGAGGAGAAGAAGAGGGAGTAGATGATGTTACGTCTTCTTCCGGTTGAGGTCGTTGAGGTAGCGGATGGCGTCGCCGGAGAACCAACCGTGGATGTTGGAGGTCACGTTGACGATACGGCCCTGGATGCCCGACGCCCTGGCAGACTCGGCCATCTTCTCCAGCAGCAGCTTCGTCAGCAGGTAGTGCCCTAATAATTTGCAGCAGCTGAATATCGCGAGGAAGAAGAAGAAGATCAACAGGCAGGTGGAGGTGCATGTACCCAGGTAGTTGGTGGCGAAGGTCATCTCGACGCCGTCGACGGAGATGTCGTGGCCGTGGGAGAACCTCCCGGCGTTGTTTCTGGAGTTGCCGGAGAGAATCAATCGGAAGAGAAGATGGGTAGTATATCAGGACGAGATCGAGATGGAAATGAAAAACATTTGGGAGGATCAACACCGGCCGGTTCCACATCTTACATGAGGAGGTGGAGGGGGAGATGGAGGGACTCGAAGCGAGAGACGAAGTCCCTAACAGAAGCCTGCGAGCTGAGATCGAGCGGCAGGACGATCACCTTCGCGCCGGGGAACTGTGCGATGATCCGACCTCGGGTCTCCTCCGCCGCCTTGAGGCAGCGGGCGGGGAGGACCAGGTGAGCGCCGCGCATGGCCAGCACGCGGGCCGTCTCCGCTCCGATACCCGAGGTGGCCCCTGCACAGCGGAGGAGCAGTGTCAAATCGATCCGCCACCGGAGACGAAGATAGAAGAAGAGTGGAGAGGCGGCGGCGGCGCCGCCACGACGGGTGGCGATCCTCACCGGTGATGATGGCGGTGACGGAGCTGAGGTCAGGGCACGCCGCCGTGACCTCCTCTGCCGTGGTCTTGGACCCGTATCCGCTGGGTCCCGCGTAACCCAGGAGGTACTTCACCGTCTCCAGCATCCTTCCTCCTCCCCTTCCCTGCACCACCTCCCCAAGAAGACGGATGGCCAGAGGCGCAACCTACCTATCTATTCCCGAAGAGAAATCTGTGTTGCCGCAGTTTTAGAGATTTAAAGAGAGAGAGAGAGAGAGAGAGAGAGAGAGAGAGAGAGAGAGAGAGAGAGAGAGAGGGGGGAGAGGATTTGTGCTGGAAGGGGGACAGTCGAAACGGAGGGAGCTGTTAAATGCAGATGGCGATTGACAAGGACATGTGCACCTTTTGCTGCCAGCCTCTGATAAACCCTCCTCGCCGGTGCATCTTTTACACGCGCCGTAGCGGCGCCAGTGGCCCCTGTTGCGCTTCCGGAGGAGCTCCGCCGACGGTAGGGCCGGCCGCCCCTGCCGGCGCCGTCTGGTCAGAATCGAGGAGATGAGGAAGCGGAGGGGAGACAAGGCGGAGGGCAGAGACGATCCCATCTCAGCGCTCCGGGGTTGGGGGTCAATCAATCATGCTGGACGGATTAAAAATCAAATCTTTGGTGCTAATGACGGGCGGGAGGAGCGGTCAAAGGGGCCAAGGTGGGCACACGTGAGGGGGGAGATGCCCGTCTAGTTTAATAACCTGGGTCAAAGAACAGTGCAATCTTTATAGGGGATGAGGACCAGTGGATTGGATATACGTCACGGGTCTTCTTGTCGTATGGAGATCGGCCTTGATTGGCTCAGTGGCGTATTAAAGGAGGGGCGCCGGACACCGGCAGCGGCCCTTCGGCCGTCCCCGCCACTGTTGCAACTCTCGGAGGTTATGTCGTAGTTCGGAATATACTTCGCTATAGTATCTCTCCCCGACCGACGACGGCAAGCCTCATCCTGGTTCACAACACAGAGATAGCGAGAGAGAGAGAGAGAAAAAGGACTTCGGATTTCGGTATCGTGGCGCAACATACGGCTAAGATATGCGGGCACCGACGGCATGGCTGAGCCACGACGGCGCGAGGATTCCCCTCAGAGAGGACCGGCGGAAGGAGGGGAGGGAGGGGACCGGCGGCGGCAGGAGGGATGCGACTAGGTTCCCACAGGGAACTCCTTCACGCCCTATCGCTCTATTAATGGCTAACGCCGAATAGTAGGTTGAGTGATTGAAGTCCCTCATTAATCTTTGCGGCAACGGAAGTGGGTGCAGTGGAGGAACGATAAAAACGGGCTAATCTCTCTCTCTCTGTCTCATCTGGTGATGTGATGATCAAGAATATACATATATATCGAGAGAGAGCGAGATTAAGAAGCGGAGGAGAGAAGAAATAGAGAATTTTTCTCTTTGATCGAAAGAGTCACACGAAAGTCGACTCCCTCGGGACGTCGCCCGCCGCAGGGCCGAAAGAAGGAACCCCGTCTGCCACACGCCAATGTCCTCCCCGCCGCGTATGGCAGGAAACTTTCCTTCAGGAGGGCCCCCTTCTCCACTACGGTACTCTTGACTTCTTCCTCCCTTGAGCCCCGAAACACTCTTGGAGCCTACACATCTCACCGAGGGCAAACACCCCTCTGGCACAACATCTTGTTTCGTCTCGTCTCCTCTCTCTCTCTCTCTCTCCCATTTCCATTCGGCTTCCACTCAGTATATATATATATATAGAGAGAGAGAGAGAGCGATTAGTAGTTTGAGATGGATTGATCCCTCCTTAAACAGTGGTCGCGCCCTAGCCGGACATCCCAAGCTGTCTTTCTAACTGACCCTTCATCAGGGTATCTTCACCACCGTCAAGCTCCCCAGAATCAGGTCAAAGAGTTTCGCACAAATCGGTTCCTGTAGTCAAAAGTTCCTCTCCCGCATGCCGCCGATCAGTGCCGTTTGACCTACGAATTCTAAAAAGCGGCCAGCTTTTG